AACATGTACTTTATTTAACTATTATTTAGATACTGGTTATTGCCTTGGTGCTAGGTATACATCGGTGAAGACAACCCTCTCCCCCATGGAGCTTAACTTTTTTGAGATAGACTTGTTGGTAATAGAGCAGCTCATGTGAAAGTAGAATATAATTGTGGTAAGTGTTGTGAAGACTGTGATCAAGGAAGTTGACCTAGCCAGGGATGTGAAAGACAGATTTTCTGAAGTGGTAATTGAGCTAAGATCTGAATAAGGAATGACTCCTTTTTAAAAAATTTTTTTATTTTTGTTTTATGTGTATGCGTGTATTGCCTGCATGTAGGTAAGTGCACCTGTGTCATGCAATGCCCGTGGAGGACAGAAGAGGCTGTCGGATCCCCTGGACCTGACGGACACTTGTTAGTGGCCATGTGTGTTCTGGGATTTGAACGTGGGTCTTCTGCAAGAACAGCCAGTGTTCTTAACCACTGAGCCATCTCTCCAGTCCCAGAATGATGACTTTTTACGTACAGTAGTCCCCTACCCCATTTTTGCAGTGGTGTGGCTTGAACACAGGACCTTTTCCTAGTCCCAAGCAGTCCCTTAGTAAGTAGCTATGGTTTCAGTTTCAGTTATCTGAGACTGACTAAAGTCCAAAAATATTAAATGGAAAAGTCCAGAAATGAAGAATTCCTAAGTTTCAATAAAGAATTCACCTGATGTAGTATGTTGGCATTTCACATCATCCTGTCTAGGACACAGCTCATCTTTTGTCCAGCATTTGCTCCCTGCCTATTAATCAGTTAGCAGAGTTCCCAGTTTCTGTACGGGCTTGTCATAATATCACAGTATGTATGTTAACACAATCCTTATTTTACGTAATTGCCCAAAGCAAAGACTAGTGATGCTAGCAATTCATATATGCTAAAAAAGCTTCTAAGTACAATCTTGCAAGAGGAAAGGTGAATGCATAGTAAGATGTTTGAAAGACATAATCACACAGGTGCAACTTTTATCAGGGGATATCCTTATTTATTTTAGTTACTGCTATTAGTCTCTTGATGTATCTAATTTATAAATAAAAACTGTATGTTAGGCATGTATGCACAGAAAAAAATATGATTTGTATCAGATTCAGTGCTATCTGTGCTTTCAGACATCCTCTGGGGGTCTTGGAACATTTCATTTGTGGATAATGGGGATTTTTGTATTCCAATAATGTAATTTTGACCTGTGGTATCCACTCTCCCATTTGTTCTATATTTATAAGCATTCTTTTGCTAGTAGTGATCTCATCAGCTTTTAAATAAATTTAAGTATTCTCACATTAAAAAAACCTCATTATCTTTTCCAACTATTTCCTTTTTTTCTCTTTCCCTTCTAACCAGGAAAGAATTGTCTGAAGTTTCTATTCTCATTTACTCATCTTATACTTGGTTAGGAAAAAGAAAATCAGGTTTACCCTCTCTTCAACCTCTTTCAGTCTGGATTTCAACTATACCATAGTGAAATACTTTCAATAAAGTCAGTAATGACCTGCACGCCCAGTGAGCCCTGTTAGTCATCACTTTGCTTGGCCTTTCTGTGGCACTGAACATAACTGAGAACTTTTTTCTTGAGATGTTATCTTTCATCATATTATACTGTTCAGTTTTTCTTTTTTGTTCTTTTTAGTTGGTTAAGAGACGCTGGAATTCCTTAAGACTATTTTAGACTCTTTTTCCTTTCTGTCAGCCTCTCTAAAGGTGGGCTTCAGATATTATCTGTAAATGGTTCCCAAAGTTATATTGTACCTGACTTCTGGGTTCTGCACTAATGTGGTCAGCTACCTCTCGTATTTTTCTACTTTATTTGTTGTTTATTTATGTGTATTCATTTTAGATCTGATATCTACCAGGTGTTGTGGTGGTGCTGGGAGTGTCTTATGTATCTGTAATGGAATATAATCAAAACAATTAATGATTCACTCCCTCTGCTAAAAATAAGCAGGTAAACAAATAACTAGTCAGGCAAGCAAGCAAGTCAAAGAACAAAAACAGCCCAAATAAGACCTTTGCTTCTGTGATTCTCTATCAAGTGCTACAATCCACCTAGTTCTTTTAATTTGAGTCCTTGGGATTTGTCTTGACTCTCACCTTAATCTGAGCGTATTTCCCATGTCATCACCAGTCCAATTGAATTCAATCAGTGTAGCCTAATGCAGTGCTGCTCTACTTCCTGAGTATCTTCCCTTTGCATCTGTTATCCTCTTTTCACCAATAATGCCATCACATGACTTCTATAATAGTTAGTGGTCCTAATCTTGCTCACTTTTGACTGTCTCCTGACAGTTTGCCATATAACTGCAAGCACGTTTTTTTCTGTATTGCTCTGTTTTTTAAAAAAATGATTCATTTTATGTGTGTGTGTGTGTGTGTGTGTGTGTATGTGTATATGTGTGTGTGTTTGCCCACACACATGCATATGGAGGGCAAAGGTCAACATCCTGTGACTTCCTATATATCTTTTTGTGTGTGTATGTCTCTTTTTGAGACAGGGTCACCCTGTAACCCCAGCTGGCCTGGGACTCACTATGTAGACTAGGCTGGCTTCCCTTTCCCAGAGATCCATCTGCCTCTGCCTCCTGAGGGCTGAGACTAAAGGCAGTTGGCACCATGCCTGGCCCATCTTATTTTTTGAGGTTAGGAGCTCTTAGTGAACCTGAAGCGCCAACTTGGCTAGAATGGCTGACCAGTTGAGTCCCTGGGATCCTCCTCTCCAGTGTTAAGGTTATAGGTGCGTGCCACCACACCTGGCTTTTACACGGGCTCTGAGGATCCAAATGGGTCCTCACACTTGTGTAGCAAGCCCTTTCCCCACCGAGCCATCTTTCCAGCCTCCTGTCTCAGTATTATTATCTATAAAATTGTTATATTTTCATCATAGAATTATTGTGAGGATAGAAAGATTTCCTATGTATAAGTTACTTTGAAAGCATGAGGCACTAAATTCTCAGCAAAGATTACTGAATCTTTTGTGCATTAAGTGAAGTAAAAGGCATGTCTTAGTTTGTTCTTCATTGCTGTGACAAAATACTCTGACCAGTACCAACTTGGGGAGGAAAGGGTTTATTTGTCTTACATCTCCCAGGTTACAGTTCATCACTGAGGGAGGCCAAGATAGGAACTCAGGGGAGGAACCTGGAGGCAGGATCTGGAACACAGGCCATAAAGAAACACTGCTTACTGGCTTGTTCCCCTGACCCCTACTCAGCCTGCTTTCTTAAGCAACACAAGACCACCTGCCCAGGGATGGCACCACCCACAGTGGGCTGGGCCATCCCACATCACTCAATAATCAAGAAGATGCCCCACAGACATGG